TATAGTTCAGCAAAATGGGTGTGCTTTTTGAAAAATGGCGTTATGGTTTTGAAATTTTAGTTCAAAAGCCTGGTTATAGTGTTTTAGCAATCGAGAAAAACTGTAATATGTCTCTTTTCTTCTCCACCTGTTTTTTCTGACCCTGCTTACCCAAAGAGCATTTTGCTGTCCAATGGTCGTGCCTTAACTTTGCAAATTCCAGTACTGCATTAGTATTGCATCCTTCTCATGGGCATTTAATATTTTTTTACTTTTAGTCTGAGTTATATCTCTTTTTTGCATCATTTTATCTGTAAAAGAAAACCTGCCTAATAATTATGCACACCTGAATATAATGAGTTTTTCCACTTCCAGCCTTCATGGACAATTATATATCACTTATATATGATCAAATACAAAATGAATAGTAGTTATTAAGATTGATGTGGTTTGGAATTGGTCAAATGTGCTTGGAAAAAAAAATAGCATGACCAAGCTGTCATAATCAGACAAAAAATCTTACCAGTTTTCTCCAGAATTAAATCACATCTGAAACAGTTATTTGAAAAAAAAAATCTGGTTCTTGCCTGAAATCTGTTACCTACAATACACATGCATTTATACAATTAGATTCAGATGATGTGTACAAGGATGAATGGAGCTAATAAACCGAAATAGTGCACAGCCTCTTGGGAGCCATTTGATATTCTCTTACAACTTGGATTTTTGTACATCTCCTGCTTTAGTAAAACACAAATGGAACAAAAACAACACCTAGAGAGAGAGAGAAATGAAAGAGAGCTCTTCTGTTTGTTGTGCTGTATTTTTTAATTCTCATTTTCATCTTAGATGTGAACACATTTGATCTCCATTTCAACACAGACAAAGACACAGACAGAATGCAAGAACTGAACATTACAGGATTTAAAAAAAATGTAAATGGAGTAAATCCTCAGAGTGTAGAAAAACATTCAAGCAAAACGAGAGAACTTTATATCCAACTTCCAAGGTATTTCTTCATTCAAAAACAAATATATTCCAGAAAAGGTAACAATCATTTGTAAGCCACTCTTTCTGAATACAATTTAAAGCTTGTTCATGTACATTAAGAGAACAGAACATCACAAAATGACCACTGAATGCAAACAAACAGGCATTGCACTAACAACAGCGAATACACTATACTGTACATCCAAAAGAAAATATATTTAGTGCTAAAACACAATTCCCAACCATTATGATGATCTTGTGCTCTTCAATCAAATGGCCACGGAATCTCAAACCACATGCTTATAAAACAACTTTTTGCACCAAAATGAAACCACATCCATAATAATCTCAGTTCTGTCCATCAGTGTATATACAGTATATCTTATGATTGCGCATTTGGGACAACATTCTTGTGTTTGACAAGGCCACAAAACAGGCATTTTCCAGCCTGCTGCATTTTACATATAAACAATACATAGAGTATAATCCACATAAATCCGCATGTGCAGCGTAATTTACATAAGCTCCGAGATACCTATTCAGTCACAGTTATGAAGAGAGATAGATAGACGGTGGAATGTACATATAATTGTGTAAGTATTATACATTCATCATTCGGAATGTTTGTTGCTTATTTTACAAATATAATTTTGTTGAGTAGATTTTTGTATAAATCTATATAGGCTATACATGCTAATTTCTCAGCATGAGAAGATATTCGTTTGTATGTAGATATTTGCAGATTATGTTTAACACTGAAAACAGTTCTCAGAAAGCATGTTATTGTAGATGCCACATTGTAAAGGGTTTCAAAACCATGGCTTTTAAGGTTAATGTAGTTATTCTATGAAATATTGCTGACGTATTGATCTGGCCAAATGTCTTTTTCAACTGCTCCCTTTTCAGTCTGTTCGTTCTAATTCGATGCGATTCTGATGGTGTTAAAGGGATTTTAATGGAGGAGAATTCAACCAGGACTGGTCTGACCAATAGGATTCAGTCTGCTGGAGTGATCACCATAGTAACAGTGTGATTCAAAAACATCAAAAAAAAAAACAAAAAAAAAAAAAACTTGAAGAGATCAAACATACAAAAAAAAACCTAGTATAAAAACCGGCAGAATAAAAGCAAACAAATTCCCAGCTGTGTGAGTGTGTTTTTTCTAAACTAATTTCAATCAAATACACTGTATAAATAACAACAAATCTGAACGAGTATGCAAATATTTGCTTTGAAATGTGGCAAAAAATAAATCCTTTCATCAAACACCGAGCCTGAAGATCCCACATCAAATGTTTACACTGTTTGCCACTCAGATGTTCAACAAGGTATAACTAGTAATAAATAAGATGTAAATAATTTAAAAAGAGAGATGCTTTCCCACTCACTCAGATGTTCATTCAACAAGGTATAACTAGTAATAAATAAGATGTAAATAATTTAAAAAGAGAGATGCTTTCCCACACAAAACTCGCCCCTATGATGTAAAAGTGTTGTGGTTTGTTGTCAGGGCATTGCAATGCGACTGCTAAGCTGTTCTGAATGTCTATAGTATATTGCTAGGGTCTAGACATTGCTAGTTGGAAAAGAGCCTGTGATACTCCTTCGATACTGTTTCTCTATGTCCGAAAAGCCATGGCGCTCTCACACAACATCAGTGAAAAATACATCACGGAGCAAAGTCAATCAAACTCCCTGCGAAGGGTCAACTGTCAATAGTGTAGTGATGTATGAAGAACATCTCACACAGAAGTTACTTTCAAACCAATCATCTTTTGGTCGAGCGAATCCACATGACCAATTTGAGCCCGTTGCGAAATCTGTGAATCTTGCGGAAACCCCCCCCCCCCCA